GACCATGCAGTTCCAGAATTGAAAAAGAGCTCCAGCATGGACCAAATGGGAGGTACTGGATCTGATCGCTGTATGGGGAGAGGAATCCGTGCTGTCAGAACTACATTCCAAAAGACAAAATGCCAAAACATTTCAAAAGGCCATGAGGGACAGAGGCTATATCAGGGACAAAACACAGTGCCGCATGAAACTTAAGGAGCTCTGACAAGCGTACCAGAAAACCAAAGAATCAAACGGACACTCCGGGACAGAGCCCCAGACATGCCGCTTCTATTCTGAGCTGCATGCAATTCTAGGGGGGGCCTCTACCACTACCCCACCCCTGTCTGTGGACTCCGATAATGGGGTACTCTCTGCCATGGCTGAGTATTTTGCAGACGGGGAAGATGAGGAGGAGGAGGAGCTTGAGGAGAGCACACAGCACACCGTTCTCCCCAACAGCCAGGATCTTTTTATCACCCTGACTGAATTACCCTCCCAACGCAACGAAGCCGGAGACGGGACCTCTGGTGAGTGTACCTTTTTAAATACAATACATGTTTTAAAAGCAAGCATTTTTTAATGATTAATTTGCCCTGAGGACTTGGGATGCATTTGTGGCCAGTACTGCTACTGGAAAAGTCTGTTAATGTGCCTGGGGATGGAGCGGATATCTTCCAGGGACATCTCCATGAAGCTCTCCTGGAGGTACTCTAAAAGCCTTTGAAGAAGGTTTCTGGGGAGAGCAGCCTTATTCTGTCCTCCATGGTAGAACACTTTACCACGCCATGCTAGTAGCAAGTAATCTGGTATCATTGCATGACAAAGCCTGGCAGTGTATGGTCCCAGTGTTTGCTGGCATTCAAGCAACATCCGTTCTTTATCTCTCTGTGTTATCCTCAGGAGAGTGATATCATTCATGGTTGAAATGGTTGAAATAGGGGAATTTAATTAAGGGGACATTCTGAGGTGGCCGTTCCTACTGGGCTGTTTGCCTGTGCCTGAAAAGAAATCCTCCCTGCAGTTAGCCACGCGGTGGTGGTGGGGAGGGGGGGCATTGGTGCTGAGCTGTTTGCGTTTGGCTAGCAGGGATCTTCCCTGATACCAGCCATGCGGTGGGGGAAGGGGTAAACCGATCATCCCAGAGAATTGGATGTGGGGGGAGGGGGTTAGTTTGGTTTCTGCTGCTGCATATTAACATGAAACCGCAGCACTAAATGGCCAACGCAACGGGCTTTGTTTGGTATAGGAAAGGAGGGCGCTGCTGTTATGAAGGTTGCAGAAGCCGAAAAACTATGGCTTACTATGGCTGCCTGCAAGCTGAATTCTGTTTCCCGGCACTGCATATGTGATTTCTAACACCAAAGCCTCAGGCACTCAATATAAGATGCAAAATGCAACCTTGTACCAAAATCACCTGTGCTATGTAATGTGAATAGTGTTGTTCACTGTGAGAGTATAGCCATTGTACTGTAAAATGTATCTTTTTAAATACTTCACTCCCTTTTTTTCCTCCTGCAGCTGCAAATGTTTCAAGCCTCCCTCCTCTGTCCCAAAGGCTATCTCAGATAAGGCGGTGAAAAAAACGCACGTTCAATGAAATGTTCTCTGAGCTCATGCCGTCGTTCAGCACGGACAGAGCTCAGCAGAATGTGTGGAGGGGCACAGTACAGGAAAGCGGCCAATGAACATGAGGAGAGGAGGGACGATTGAGATGAGAGGTGGCTGCAGGAAGATCAGAGGAGGCAGGATGCAACGCTGGGGCTACCGCGGGATCAAACAGACATGCTCCAGCGTCTGGTGGAGGTTCATGAACGGCAGCAGGATCACAGACTGCCACTGCATCCCCTGTTTAAATGCCCTCTCTCCTCCCCAAGTTCCATAGCGTCCTCACCCAGATGCCCAAGAACGCAGGGGGAGGAGGGAGGCTCCGGGCACCCAACCATTCCACCCCAGTGGACAGCCCAAGCAACAGAAGGCTGTCTTTCAACAAGTTTTGAAGTGGCCTTTTCCTTCCCTCCTCCCACACCTCACCCGGGCTACCTTGTGAGTTATCTCCCTATTTTTATAATCAATTAATAAATAATACATGTTTTTTAAATGATAGTGACTTTATTTCCTTTGCAAGCAAGCTGTGATCGAAGGCGGGTGGCTTATAGGAAATTAGAGTCAACCAAGGGGGTTGGTTTTCATCAAGGAGAAACAAACAGAAGTGTCACATGGTACCCTGGCCAGTCATGAAACTGGTTTGCAAAGCTCTTCTGATGCACAGCGCTTCCTGCTGTGCTCTTGTAATTGCTCTGGTGTCTGGTTGCGCGTATTCAGCGGCCAGGCGATTTGCGTCAACCTCCCACCCCACCATAAACGTTTCCTCCTTACTCTCACAGAGATTGGGGAGCACACAACAAGCAGCAATAACAATGGGAATATTGGTTTTGCTGAGGTCTGAGCGAGTCAGTAAACTGCGCCAGCGACCCTTTAAACATCCAAATGCACACTCTACCACCATTCTGCGCTTGCTCAGCCTATGGTTGAACAGCTCCTTACTGCTATCCAGGGTGCCTGTGTATGGCTTCATGAGCCATGGCATTAAGGGGTAGGCTGGGTCCCCAAGGATCACTATAGGCATTTCAACATCCCCAACAGTTATTTTCTGGTCTGGGAAGTAAATCCCTTCCTGCAGCCATTTAAACAGACCAGAGTTCCTGAAGACGCAAGCATCATGCACCTTTCCCGGCCACCCCACGTTGATGTTGGTGAAATGTCCCTTGTGATCCACCAGTGCTTGCAGCACCACTGAAAAGTACCCCTTGCGGTTTATGTACTGGCTGCCTTGGTGGTCCGGACCCAAGATAGGGATATGAATTCCTTCTATAGCCCCACCACAGTTAGGGAATCCCATTGCAGCAAAGCCATCTAGTATGACCTGCACATTTCCCAGAGTCACTACCTTTGATAGCAGCAGCTCAGTGATTGTGTTGGCTACTTACATCACAGCAACCCCCACAGTAGATTTGCCCACTCCAAATTGATTCCCGACTGACCGGTAGCTGTCTGGTGTTGCAAGCCTCCACAGGGCTATTGCCACTCGCTTGTGAACTGTGAGGGCTGCTCTCATCTTGGTATTCTTACGCTTCAGGGCAGGGGAAAGCAAGTCACAAAGTTCCATGAAAGTGCCCTTACGCATGCAAAAGTTTCGGAGCCACTGGGAATCATCCCAAACCCGCAACACTATGCGGTCCCACCACTCTGTGCTTGTTCCCTGGGCCCAGAATCGACATTCCATGGCATGAGCCTGCCCCAGTAACACCATGATCTCCAAATTGCCGGGGATCGCAGTTTTAGAGAAATCTGTGTCCATGTCCTCATCACTCTCGTCACTGCGCTGCCGTCACCTCCTCGCCTGGTTTTCAGATTCTGGTTCTGCATAAACTGCACGATAATGCGCGAGGTGTTTACAATGGTCATAACTGCTATGGTGAGCTGAACGGGCTCCATGCTTGCCGTGCTATGGCATCTGCTCAGGCAATCCAGGGAAAAGGACGCAAAATGATTGTCTGCCGTTGCTTTCACGGAGGGAGGGTTGACTGATGACATTTTCCCATAACCACCCGCAACAAATTTTTGGCCCCATCAGGCATTGGGAGTTCAGCCCAGAATTCCAATGGGCAGCGGGGACTGCAGGAACTGTGGGATAGCTACCCACAGTGCACTGCTCGGAATGTCGATGCTTGCCACAGTACTGTAGATGCACACCGCGAATTAATGTGCTTAATGTGGACGCATGCACTCGACTTTATACAATCTGGTCCCAAAAATTGACTTATGTAAAACTGGAGTCACTTCATAGTGTAGACAAGGCCTCAGACTCTGCTGAACAGAGATCTGAAGTGATTAAGTCACTCCGTGGGGCAGATTCTGCTTCCAAGGCCACATCTGTACTAGAAAGTTTCACTGACAGAACTTTTCCCCCATCACAATGGTTAAGAGTCTCTCCTCTCCATTTGCTAGTTTGATGGCTTTATTTACTTTCTATGTAAATGTATTTCCATTGTTCTTGGCCATGCTCAAATTTACATTGGAGACAGTCAAGCCTGGGAAACAGACACTCCTTTGTCTTGGACAGGTTAAGCTGAGGCACTGCCTGCCAAACCAATTTTAGAGGGACAAGATGGGTGAGGTAATAGCCTTTATTGGACCCACTTCAGCTGGTGAGAGAGACAAGTGAACTGGGTCCAATAAAGGCTATTACCTCACCCACCTTGTCTCTCTAGTATCCTGGGACTGACACAGCTATAAACACATTTTAGGAACATATTTCTAGCATACATCTATAATTCTTTATACACCACCTGTACATACATCATGCAATACTATCAGTGACAGAATGTTACCTGGCTGCATGACACTTTTTAGATACAGATTATGACAACTATGAGTTAGGGCAATGAATGTGTCAGGCCTGATGAGAGTTATGGTATGGTGTGCACTCTGCTAGTTCAAATGGAACCTCTCCTGGGTCACACCTGCACAGGTCAGCAGAGTTCTTGTGACTGTTTTAGATACAAGATCACTGTGTCCCCTGTATTTGAAGAACTTGACTGACTACTGCTGCCACAGCAGCCACGGGTGCTGGGATGTAGATTAGACAAGATGAGGAATGGCTGATGCAGCCAATGCATAGAAATCACAAGGTGGTGCAGGAACTTGCTGCTTGCATCTTAGAAATACTGGACTTAAAAAAAAAAATGCAAGCAGGAACAGTTTTCCCAAGCCATCTTCTTCATATTGGTGGGGTTGAAATGCCAATAGTGATTCTGGGGGAACTGGCCTATCTTTTGCTTCCCGGTTCATAAACCATATACTGGATACCTGATAGCAGCAAGGAAAGATTTCACTTCTGCCTGAGCAGGTGCAGGATGGCTTCTGAATATGCATTTTGTTAGACTGAAAGGGCTCTTGTGAGGTCTTATGACCCAACTGATCTCAGCAAGGGACATATTCTTATATGTGTGTTACAGAATATTTGGGAAGCAAAGGGGGAAAGACAAGTGGTGGAGTGAAAAGACTGTTGATTTTGAACAGCCAGACAAGGACAGTTACAAGAACTTCAAGAGGAGCTGTACAGAGCTGTACAAGAACTTCAAGAGGGGCCAAGCAGAGGGAAGCTGTAAGATCCTTTTCTATATTGTGCCATAGTACTGCAGTATGCTGCTTGTGTATACTTGGGTTGAATTTTTAATTGGTAAATGCCTGTTATAAATTTAGTTGGAGGGGTTGCAATTTGGCCTGTGACATTTATTTTGTGAGACCCAGTAAATACCTGTATTTACAAAAACAATTTTATTGAGCAGAAGAAAAACCACCTTTGTGGTTTAACACTTATACGTTAAAAGCTATTAAACCTATTTAAAAAATGCCAGGGTGCTTGCTGACTGATCCTGTATTAGTCACTGGCCAGGGTATGTCATACATCCCTCAACTTCCACCAGCATGGCATGGTAGAGATAAGGATACAAGCTGCACTGCCGCCTTTCTTAGGGTGGTAGTATGGTCCTGTGAACACTGAATCATCATACACAGTGTCTGATGATGTGATGGTCTTTGGGTGTTTTGCTCCATAATATTCTCTAACATTTGTTTGTTGGTTGAGGAGCTGCGTGATGTCCTGGTCCTGTTCTCAATGCACCGCCTCCAATCCCTGCTCTCCTGGTCAGTCTGAGGACTGGAGAAGCTCTGTAAATATGTCCTCCTTGTGCTGTTTCTTCTTCTTCTGAAGATGGGCAACAGCACGGAGGGGGCCTCTCACAGATACCCCGCCTGAGGACACAGATGAGAGATATTGTTGGCTTTACAGTGGTAGCTGAAAGGAAGAGAAGTCCCAAAACTCCTTAATTTCATTCCCCACAAAGATCTTTATGAAAATATGCAGAGGGTCAGAGCAGCTTCAGGACGACTCTGCAGCTGAACATGGTGCATAGCATGGAGATGCTGCTGAAAACACACAGTCATTAAGGGTGGGGTGACACTGTAGTAAATACAGTGGAGATTACAGGCAGTGGTAATTATGGCAGATCTCTCACACCCAAGGGTCACAAAGGCTCTGAGAAGGAGCTGCTCCAGGTGGCTTGAGGTTGCCCTGGCTCATACACTGCCAGGCCCTGACAAAGTAAGAGGAGTCCACCCTCAAAAGAAAAGAACAAAAGTACAATTGAAGAAACATCAAAGCCAGGTCCTAGGCTGAAAGTCATGTCTGCGATTGATGGGTGATCAGTCACACCAAACCCAGAGGCAGCGTGACACAGCAAGACCTATAGACTCTTGATTCAGACTAAAGCCTACGAAAAGGATGGGTGAGATGGAAGACTTTGGAGGGTCACATTCTGCTTCCAACATGGAAGGGCATCGGTGCATGCCCAACAGAAACCCAGCTCTTCCTTGTGCCTGGCTTTCCTGGCCAGTGAGCCGCCACAAGCTACGAACCCAAGCCATGAACTCAAGCTACATTCAGGACTGGTAACTATACAGCAGCTGCAGAACCTGTGTGTGTATGAACGAACCGTGTGAATGAATGTGAAACTGAATGAAATGTTATAGCTATAACTGACTGCCTACTATGATTCTTTCTGTAGTCACAATTAATGTGACATTTTGTCTTATCCTCTTTAATAAGATCCTGCTGGTTTTTATTTTATTGGTAGAACAGGAGGCATTAAAGCACTGTCTTTTGCTAGGTTTACATTAAACATGTACTCTTCAAAAGAAATCAGGTACTCCAACTGGACAGTCACTGAAGTGAGTCCAAAATATTTTTACATTTCTTATGCACTTTATTTTTATGGCCAGGTATTGGTTTCAGTATGTTTGTTTGCAGTGGATTTTCTAATATGTTAGAATTTCAGCTATTGTAACACACTAACTTGATGGCTACTAAATGATTCCAAGGACTTATTTTAATTGCCAAGTGCGTTAAGATAAAATTGGCTAATTTGATAAAACCCAATTCCTTTATTCTGATCACATGCCATTTTGAAAGGGGGAGAGGAGAGGCAGGGGGAGATTTTGGGCACCATGTAGGAAAAACAACCCCTTCCCTCATACAGAATCCCCCTTCCCCACCCACCACCATGCAACAATACACTTACCTGAGCTCCCATCACCTTCCTCCCTGGGCTGTCTCTGGACACTGAAGAGCTCCAGGCTTTCTGCAGGGTCTGCATCCCCTGCAATGAGCTCATACTCACCAAGCACTCAGGAGGTTCCTTCCTCTGGGTCTGATGAGGACTCTGATGTTTCCCCACCAAACATGGCATGGAGCTCATCATAGAAGCAGTGTTGCAGACTCTTAGTTTTGTCATGAGTCTCATGATAATTATTTTCCTTAGAGTCCCAGCTGTTGGAGTCAAGTGGATCTGTGATGATTTCAGCCTTCATTCTTAAAGAAAAAGTAAGTTTCTAGCCCTTGTGTGTATGGGGAGACCTTCAAAATGTGACCCCAGTGCACCCTACAGGCACAAAAAACAGAAGGCAAATAAGAATGGCAATTCTATTATTTTTACATAATCTTGTGATTTTTTTTAACCTTTGGGGTTGGCAATACTGTGCATGATTGGGGCACCCCCAGATTTTCTGTTGGCCTCTCTTGCCTTCTGTATAACTGCCAAGCTCCTTGACTCAGCATTGCTTCTTGTCCTTGTTGCCCAGCTCTTGCATCCCCTTCCCAATGCCCACATGGACATCTTGACTCCTGCAGTTGCCTTTCAGATGGGCTTGTACTGCCTCTTCTCCCCACAGAAGGAGGAGATTCTGGACTTCTTTCCAGGTCCAGGTAGCAGCCCAAAATTTATCTGGCCCTTTTCTTGCTGAGCTGTACCTCTCTGCTCATGAAGGTGGGCTAGCAGGAAAAGGGGTGTTTCCAAAACACCCTGGGGATTTTTAAGCAGGGTTTGGCTTCCTTTCACTGTGATCACTGGGCCATGGAGTTCAAAATTGTGACCAGAGCAGTCACTGTCACAGGGACAGGAGCATTATGGGACTTGCTGGAGAACTGTTTTTACTAGTCCAAGGTAATACAGGATCCATGCTGGCATTTTGCCAACGTAAGTATGTCAGTTAAGGACTTGACTCATTTGGGGGAGGGGGATATTTTAGCAACAGAAGGTCTGGGTTTCACCAGCGCAAATCAGATTTGCATGTGGACTCATGCAAAAAGCAGCTACTGTCACCAAAAATACTTCATAGTGTTGACAGAACAGTTCCTTAGGGGAAAGATGCTCACCAGTCAGGCTGATTTACCATTCAATGGACAGAATCCATCCCTTCAGGCCACAGAGTGATGGTATCAGAGCTGAGAAGACGGTAAGATAGATCGTGTATTCACACGCCCTTCCTGAAAGGATAGAGCCCCCAAACCCTGCTTTCATGCACCCACATGGATGGATATTTGAGAACACAAAAGGCCAGGAAATCGATGTTCAGGTCCCCAGAGCAACCTTCATTAGTGCATACTTGTGACCGGGGTCCCAGTGGGGGCCAGCTGTGGTCACCCAATTAGGGTGAACAGCAAAGAACAGGGCAGCCAAACTCCAAAAAGCGGGTGGATATTCCAATACTTAGATTCACCAAGCCAGGATAAAACAGCTTCTTTATCACCTTATTGGTTACTCAGAAGTTCAAACAACACAGTTCCCTTAAAGTGATCCAGCCTCAGGCCTCCATCCAGGTACCCACATCAAATACGATGAAAATTTCTGTAAATCTTATTTCATCATATAAAAGAAAAGGTTCTACCAATCCCAAAGGATCAGACACATTACCTCCCAGATTAATGAATGTTTCAGATTTTACCCAAATACACGCTACAGCCAATTCTTATTAACTAAACTAAAATTTATCAAAAAACAAGAGAGAGAGAGAGTATGGTTAAAAGATCAATATACATACTGACATGAATTCAATCCATTGAGGTTCAGATTCATAGCAGAGATGGTGAGCTTTGTAGTTGCAAAGAGTTCCTTTAGAATTCAGTTCATAGGTCATAGTCCAATGTCCAAATATCATATTCAGGGTGTACCAGCATAAATGAGACCTCAGTCTTGTGATTCAAACTTCCGCTGACAAAGCCTAAGCAGCTCTGAGATGACAGAATCAGGACCCAAGGATCTTTTATACAATTTCATGTCTTTTGACAAGTTGGAATTCCTCAGGGAACATAAGGCAATTAGGATGACTTTGAAGGAGCTCCATCACTGGTACTTAGCTATACGGATAAACATAAGACAATTTGCTTGTTCCTCCACCATTCACAGTACATTTCAAAGAGAGATGAATACTGAGATATCCCGTGTTTACAATTTACATGATAGGATGCTCTTTTGACCTCTGAAGTAACAGAATACAGCATAGACAGGGACTGTTGATTACATTGTCCACCCTACTCATACGTATGTAAATACACGAAAACACAAACATTATCTCCACACATGTCTTTTGAGGGTTATTTATTTTGCAGGATGTTTAGCCCTTTCTAGCCATGCATCACAATACTGTATGAGCTGTATAGGCATATTAACATGACTGTGTTATTCAATGTCTGTCTCAATCTACTATGTGTGCACCATGTGGTGGATTTTAAAACAGCAAGAAGCATAAATCTGAATGTATTCACTTCTGTGCTTTTAAAATCTGCCCAGGCATGCCACACACACACTGCATTAACATATTGCTCACACTGCATCTTCTTTCTTAAGAAAGGGAAATAAACAAATGTTTTGGCAAGTCTGACTGTGCCAGCAAAGCTTACATTTGAACAGAGTCATGTAGTAAAACTCACTACAAGCTCCTGTAGTGGCAGAGAGATTCTACATCAGGGGTGGGCAAACGTTTTGGCCTGAGGGCCACATCGGGGAATAGAAATTGTATCGAGGGCTGTGAATGCTCACAAAATTGGGCTTAAGGTGCAGGAGGGGATGAGGGCTCTGGTTGAAGGTGTGGGCTCTGGGGTGGGGCTGGGGATGAGAGGTTTGGGGTACAAAAGGGTGCTCTGGGCTGGGATCGAGGGGTTTGGAAAGTGGAAGGGGGATCAGGGCTGTGGCCGGAGGTTGGAGCATGGAGAGAGGCTCAGGGGTGCAGGCGCCGAGCGGTGCTTACCTCAAGCAGCTCCCGGAAGCAGTGGCATGTCCCTTCTCCGGCTCCTAGGCAGAGGTGCAGCCAGGTGGCTCTGCATGCTGCCCCATCCGCAGGCACTGCCCCTGCTCCCATTGGAGCGCCAGAGGGGGCCATTGGAGCACGTAGAAGCCGGAGCAGGACCATGCCATGGCTTCCATGAGCTGCATGGTGCAGCCCCCGACCCAGCGCCTGGGCTGGAGCACCGGAGTGGGGCTGAGCCGCGTGGTGCGGCCCCCGACCCAGCGCCCCAGCTGCAGTGGGGCAAGCCCCAGACCCTGCTCACCAGCGGGAGCTGGCGGGCTGGCTTAAAACAGCTTGCGAGCCATAGTTTGCCAACCCTGTTCTACATGCTGCTTGTCACCAGTCACCACACCTCAAAGCAATTCCTGCTCAGATGTTCCAATAAAGGAACAAGTAGCATTAGTTTTAAAGTGGAGATCTCCACACCTGACAAGTACTCAACTCTACAAGAACAGCTGTGTTCCACATATGCAAAAACTTATCACTTTGTAAAAAGCAGGAAAGAAGAGAGTTGCATAGTATACCTATGTTGTATGTCATCCAGATAGGGGAGTCTTCTGATGCGAGAAGCCACCCCAGAGTATTCTCAAGCACACAGAGAACAGCTCTGTTTACCTTATTTAGAAGGTCACTTCTAGTACACAGCTGATCTTTTTTTTCAGTCACTCACTTAGGTGAGGTTTTAAAGCAGGTTTTCCTACACAAAGACTTGATTGCTTGCTACAACCAGCTGGGATCATGCTGTAGGGCTGTCATGTTCTGGTATAAAGAAAAGGAGTACTTGTGGCACCTTAGAGACTAACCAATTTATTTGAGCATAAGCTTTCGTGAGCTACAGCTCACTTCATCGGATGCATACTATGGAAAGTACAGAAGATCTTTTTATACACACAAACCATGAAAAAATGGGTGTTTACCACTACAAAAGGTTTTCTCTCCCCCCACAAACCCGCTCTCCTGTTGGTAATAGCTTATCTAAAGTGATCACTCTCCTTCCAATGTGTATGATAATCAAGTTGGGCCATTTCCAGCACAAATCCAGGGTTTAACAAGAATGTCTGAGGAGGGGGGTAGGAAAAAACAAGGGGAAATAGGTTACCTTGTATAATGACTTAGCCACTCCCAGTCTCTATTCAAGCCTAAGTTAATTGTATCCAATTTGTAAATGAATTCCAATTCAACAGTCTCTCACTGGAGTCTGGTTTTGAAGTTTTTCTGTTGTAATATCGCAACTTTCATGTCTGTAATCGCGTGACCAGAGAGATTGAAGTGTTCTCTGACTGGTTTATGAATGTTATAATTCTTGACATCTGATTTGTGTCCATTTACTCTTTTACGTAGAGACTGTCCAGTTTGACCAATGTACATGGCAGAGGGGCATTGCTGGCACATGATGGCATATATCACATTGGTGGATGTGCAGGTGAACGAGCCTCTGATAGTGTGGCTGACGTTATTAGGCCCTGTGATGGTGTCCCTTGAATAGATATGTGGGCACAGTTGGCAACGGGCTTTGTTGCAAGGATAGGTTCCTGGGTTAGTGGTTCTGTTGTGTGGTATGTGGTTGCTGGTGAGTATTTGCTTCAGGTTGGGGGGCTGTCTGTAGGCAAGGACTGGCCTGTCTCCCAAGATTTGTGAGAGTGTTGGGTCATCCTTCAGGATAGGTTGTAGATCCTTGATGATGTGCTGGAGGGGTTTTAGTTGGGGGTTGAAGGTGACGGCTAGTGGTGTTCTGTTCTTTTCTTTGTTAGGCCTGTCCTGTAGTTGGTGACTTCTGGGAACTCTTCTGGCTCTATCAATCTGTTTTTTCACTTCCGCAGGTGGGTATTGTAGTTGTAAGAATGCTTGATAGAGATCTTGTAGGTGTTTGTCTCTGTCTGAGGGGTTGGAGCAAATGCGGTTGTATCGCAGAGCTTGGCTGTAGACAATGGATCGTGTGGTGTGGTCAGGGTGAAAGCTGGAGGCATGTAGGTAGGAATAGCAGTCAGTAGGTTTCCGGTATAAGGTGGTGTTTATGTGACCATCATTTATTAGCACTGTAGTGTCCAGGAAGTGGATCTCTTCTGTGGACTGGACCAGGCTGATGTTGATGGTGGGATGGAAATTGTTGAAATTGTGGTGGAATTTCTCAAGGGGTTCTTTTCCATGGGTCCAGATGATGAAGATGTCATCAATATAGCGCAAGTAGAATAGGGGCGTTAGGTGATGAGAGCTGAGGAAGCGTTGTTCTAAGTCAGCCATAAAAATGTTGGCATACTG